AAAAAAAATTATATTAAATAATTTATTAAAAAACAAAAATGCACTCAATTTAACAAGATGAGACTTTCAACAGCACAGCACAAACTATATGGCTAATAGTCCTCAGACTGCAAGTTAATAGAAAAGTTCCCTGATAACAAGTCTAAAACAAATTCCTTCTTCAGCAATTCCTCACAATCATTTTATCCATCTGGAATTGGCCCTAAGATTTCCCCAAACAAAGCTCACAATCTCATACCCCTTCAGTTAGTATTCTCTGTCTGATGGAAACCATTTCACTTTCCATCTTCTCTCTCTCCAACTCTGCCTATCCAACAACTCAATGTCTGGCCTGGTCCTTAACAGAGAAATGTTCTCTTTATCCCTCCAAAGTGTAGGTCCTTCATTCATTCTCTTTTGAACTTTAAGGAGACAAAGATTTCCTCTCTAGTGGTGATGCGGATACCTCCCACCAATGTCCTGGAGCAGCCTCGTTTCCTCACAACTCAGTTTGCATCGTATTTTTCTTAACCTTGAGTAATTTGGCTTGTCTTAACTCTATGAAATTGCAAGCACAGAAGGTCACTGACTCCAAATAGCCCAATAACAGCTGATCAACTCTCTTTTTGTAAACCCCTGTCCTTTTCCGGTTCTGCTGGCTCCACCCTGGCCCTCTCTCCAAGGGGAGTTCAAGGTTGTGGTTAGACCCCACAATCTCCTCCTTACATCTTAAGAGATCCCCTCCACTGTCCCTTATCAGTTACATCACAAAATGGTCTTAGATCTATGCTTCTCCAGCCACCAGTCAACATTATTCATTAAACTTCATCTCAAATGCCCAGTACCAGATTCACCAGTGCCTTCCCAGGGTTCCCAACTCACTCTGCCTCCACCTCCCCATTTCTACCAACTATATTACCACAATCAAGTCCATCAAATTTCTCTTCACAGTAGTCACCGAGGTCAGGTTGTTTTTGCATGTTAATATCTCAACTTCCACTTATGGTTAATAAGGGTGTTCCATATTTCAACCTCTGTGACTGACAAGTTTGATTCTTCCCCCGAGTTCAAAGTGACTGATTTGTCCAGAATGAGATGATGTCGCAGAACGTGCTGACCAGGGACTAGCACCACCCTCAACTGAAACTCATCTGAAAGGGAGGCACAGAATGGAGGAGAGCACCTTGGCCAGTGTCACTAGTTCACCTCACCTGCTACCAAGAGCTGCCCTCCTCCCATCTATCAAACTTTCCTTTACATCAATTTCTGTTCAGCCCACAAAATGAGAAGTTCCCACCTCCAACTCTTAAGTAAACTCATTAAATAAAGTCCTTTACTTCTGGATCGGAAGGAATCATCCTTGTGACTACTAAACTGTCAGGACACCAGATCTTCAGTGATTTTTTTAAAAGGCGACAATAAAACCCCTTCCCAGCCAGCTTCCACAAGTGACCTTTGGCAAAGCATCCCTCCCAGGGCCTGGGGCGATAATGGAACGATCTACGTAAGACACCTTCCTTAAAAAACCTGTTTTCGGAAAGGAACACAAGTACAAACTTGACCAGGTAAGGCAAGTAATTAACAACCCGTGCCACGATTTGCTTCAGGAAACGTCGCCTTGTCTTCCTGGCCAGAGGAGCCCAGGAGGGCCGAAGAGTTTGACTCAGCCGGTTCCCCAGGAATTGTGTCAGTGCTGAGGAGTTCAGACGAGCTAACACACAGCAGTCAGGTCACGAAGTTGCAGGAGCAGCTGCTCGGAGAACACTCGACTTTCTCATTACAGGAAAGCAAGTCCCCCGGTCAAGGATCTGGGGCGAGGGAGGAGAAGGGGTTCCTGCACTGACCCTCTCCATCACTCCGACCCTTGGGTCCAATGCAATTCGCGCCCCTCCCGCCGGCAGGACCACGTGAGACCCCCGGGCCGGGAGGGCCAAGGGGCGCCTACGAGGGGGGGGGTGTAGTTTGCAGGCGCGGGAGGGCCCCCACCCACGTCTGGCCCGGCTCCGGGGTCTCGCGCTCATTCTGAATGTACAGCGAGGTGGCTGCAGGTCCGACGTAAATCGGCCGAGCTGTGGAGGAAAGTCACCGCGGCCGGAGGTCTCAGTGCCTCGGGGGAGAGAGGCGGGCCTGAGGCGTAGGGTGGGTGAGGGGGTCCCGCGCGGGGCCGGGGCCGGGGCCCGGCGGTGGGCCTGCCCTACCGTGGCTCTGCAGGATCTCGTGCTTGAGGCCGCCCGTGTAGTCGATGAGCTCCTCCAGGCCGCGCTCGCACAGCTGCCCGTAGCCCGAGAACTTGTGCAGCACCTTCTCCAGCTCGCGCTCCACCGTCACGCACTGATCCATGCCGGAGGCGGCAGCAATCGGGTCCCCCCGGGCCCCGGGGGCGCC